CTGCTGCCTCTCCTATTACTGCATCTCTGCCATTGCTTCTCTCTGTCTCTCAAAACCTCTCTCCATCTCAGGTTTCTCTCTGTCTTCTGGGGACAGAAAGTTCTCAGCACGGGGATCCCAGGTCCTGACTCTTCTTTCTAAATGGTAATCAGGTCTCCTCTCTCTTTTCTTTCTTTATCTCTTGTGAAAGAAAAATGTGACCCAGCACCCCAATCAAATCCTGTTTCATTCACAGTAACACTCATGACCTCTCAATAACGCTATCTGGATATTGCCAGAGATGAGCACCTCAGGTTAGAAGGCACTCAAAATATGACTGAGGAAGAGCTGCCCTCTTAAAGTAGAGTCAATCATGATGCTGTGGGTGGTATAAAACCATGGAGACCTTCATTTACTGATAGGGTATGACTCAAAATGATAAGAAACAGCTGCAAACATCTATTAATAAATGGTATTTGGCATGTATGAAGTATGAATCTAGGAAAATTGTAAGTTGTCAAGAATTAAATGGAATGCATAAAGATCAATATTCCTCTAGACACTTATACACTGAAATGGACTGGTCCGGGCTATTTTGAATTAGACAGTCTAACGACTTCCTATACTGGCAATGACATTCAAGAGGATTAGAGTTGCATTCATTGTCAAAAGGACATTTTGAGACCTATCTTAAAGTAGGATGCTGCCTGGGATAGGATAATATAAATCCATATACAAGGAAATTCAGTAAATAAAACTATTATTCAAATGTATGCACTGGCCACTAAAGCTTCTGATGCAGAAATGGAAGAATTCTACCTATATCTTCAGTTTGAAAATTATCAAAGATGCAATCAAGATACATGGACAATTACTGGTATTTGGAATGAAAAAGTTGCAGGGGCAGAGAGAACAGGAATTGGAAAATATGTTCTTGGTAATGATAGAAATGAAGCTGGAGATCACATGATAGAATTTTGCAAGACCAACAAGCTCTTCTTAGCAAATACCTTTCGTTCAACATCACAAATGATGATTATCCGTGTGTATTTCTCCAAATGGAATACACAAATCAAATCGATTTCATCTGTGGAAAGAAATGATGAAGAAGTTCATTATCAGTGACAGGTAGCTGGATTAGGGATAAAGGAGGCGGAGGGCAGGGGGAGGTTGTCTCTCCTAAATGCCTGTGACAATTGGAAATCGCCTGGCAGGGCCACAATAAAAGGGGTTACAGGGAAATCAG